TTAATTATCAGAATTGTAACGGTATGGGATGTTGGATAGTTAAATTGCAAGGCGGTCCAAAATATTCAAATCAAGCAGCGGTTGCAATCGATGATAAAATTTACTCCTTCGGTAGTTGTCACTGTTTCCGTGATGATTCCAACGAACAGAATGTCGAAACCTTTGGTGTACACGTTTTAAATACCAGTCTGTTTAATAATTTCTACAGATTTTCTAATTCCCATCTAATTTAAAAATAAATCAAAAATTTTTCGATTTCACTAAATCACCGAATTATATTTATTATCAATCTTAATATATACATTTTTTTTTTCTTCTTTTTTTTGTCTCTTTTCATGTAATCATTTGTGGGATTTTTCTTTTATTACCATTTTAAATTGCAATTTTTCTTTTTTTTTTGTTTTCTTGAGAAAAATTTTAAAAATAAGTTTTAAATTTTAGCACAACTCTTTTAGTTGATTATCGTTGGAAATTTGTACCAACAACACCATTCGTATCAAATCCTTCAGAACAATTAATTGATGGATCGGGAATGGTATATAAACCGTACGGTGAAATACCATCTCTACGAGTTGGTCATACCGTGGTAGCATATCAGGGAAAGGTTTATTTATGGGGCGGTTGTTGTCCCGCTACAAGATTTATATATCCGAAAATATACTGTTTTGATCCTGGTATTTCTTTTTTTTTTTACTTTTGTAATCATAATTTTTATTAATATTATTTAAAAATCACAAAGAAAAAAATCTTTTTCTCCAAAAAAAAAAAAGTTAAAAATCGAAATTGAAATAACTTTTTCATGCTTAAATCTTTTTATCAAACAGTATCAAATGATAATAAATAACAGTTTTTATATTTTTAGATTATGCAACGATGTGATGTATTAAATTTATCATTAATTGTATGATAGTTTAAGACATAATGCATTCATTGTTAAAAATTAATTATAAATGAATTGAAAAAAAAATGCTTTTTAGTAATAATAATGAAAACATTAAAATCATACACGTAATATGAAAAAGAAGCGTTTGATAGTACGTGTGATAAAAGATTGAAATAAAATTTTGAATTCAATTTCGATTATTTGTCTTTTTTTTTTTGCAGTACAACGAACTTGGTCAGTAATTCCAAGTGCTAATGAGCCACCAATTCCGCGTATAAAGCATACTGCTGTTGTATACAATGATACGATGTTCATTTATGGTGGTATAGAAAATGATTCAGCAACTAATGGAATAATGTAATTAATTAAAAATGATTAACATATTATAATGCGCGCAAAGAAAAGCTAATCGTTATCTTCCTTTCTTCTGTTCTTTTCTCTCTCACCTCTCGCTCTCAAAAAAAAAAAAATAAAAAATTGTAAATCGAAATTGAAATAAGATTTTTCTGTCAAGCAGTATTAAATGATATCAAAAGAAAAAAAATAATTATTACTAATTTAAGCAATTTTTTCATATCCTTAGATTATGCAACAATATTTGTGCATATCATTTTGAAACAAGAAAATGGCGTTATATAATTATATATGTAAGTTATTACTTTATTTTAATCAATAATACACTTTTTTTTTACAAATTTTGATGCATTTAAATTCAAAATTATGCCAAACATGATAATGTGAAGCGAAATTTTATCATTTCATTAAAGTTGTAAATTATGAAATTTTATAAAAAAATGAAACATAATGATATAAGTTATTAATTTTTTAATTAATGATGTATTTTTTTTTCCACAAATTTTGATACCTTAATTCAAAATTATGTCAAAGATGACAATGTGAAGCGAAATTTTATTATTTCATTAAATTTGTAAATTATGAAATTTTATTGGAAATAAAAATGAACTATATAGGGTGGAATATCAGTGGAACGATTTCAACATACAGCATGCGTAATTGATGGAAAAATGTATGTATATGGTGGAATTGATGCAGAGCAGTGGACATTGTGTTTGGATATCATCGATTTACAGCAAGGTTATTGCCAAAGGCCCGTAACAAAAGGTCGAAGGCCACGTGGAATACGAGCAGCGTGTTCTTGTATACGTTTAAATTTAATATATGCTTGATTAAATCATCTGTCAAATAATTTTCATATATTAATAGTTTGATGTTATTTGCAATTGATGTGTTTCTTTTCATTGAAAGAAAGATTTT